CAAGATGTTTAATCTCTCAGCTTCCTTTATTTCCTGTGTGAAATGGAGAAAGTAGTAGCATCTAGCTCATGGAATTGTTAAGATTAAGAAGGAAAACAGGACCAAATTAAGCAGTCAATAAACTTTATAATTATAGTTATTAAGAGACTCTGATTCTTTGATACATCCATGTAAATTATTTCCAGATGAATTCATGCTCCAAGTAAATGTTCTCCAAACTTCAGAGAGAAACACATTAGTGAGTTATGAAATCTGTTCCTTGGGTAGTAGTCAATGCTGAAAAGAATTAATGAGATAGAATAACAATAATTTTTCTAAAAAAACAGAAGACATTGCACATAAAAAGCTAATGGAAAATTGCTTACTGTGTTTTGAGGTTAAATGCTTGAAAAACAATGCTTCTACGCAAAACAAATGTGCAAACTGAAACCCTTCCCCAGTTGTCCTCTCAATGCTACTCAACTCTGACTCTTTCAGGTAAAGTAAGCAAAAGCTAAAGGGCTTTGGAAGCGTGCAGTAGTGATCTTTTTGATAATGCGTGAGCATGCTGGGGTGATGTGAGAAGTCAGGAGGCAGTGGTTAGAGAGCCAGTTCATTCAGACATGAGCTGGTGCTACTTCCCAAGCGTATGGGGCAGGGAACAGGGATTTTTAGAGCTATCCAGGCCTCAGGATTTGGTTCTTGTTTTTGTTTGAAACTTTTCCTCTTAATTCAAGTACAGAGACTGTGACAGAAGGCTTTTCAGGTTCCTTTAATTCTATACACCTGGTTAATTAAAACCCCTGGTTTTAGTAGGTTATGTTTGAGGAGTAAGTCTTTCTCTGTGAGTGAAGAAAGTTGTTTTGGATTCTTATTTTTCTAAACATTGTGTAGTACATCAATGTTTATGGATTTTTAAATGCCATTTCTACTGTTTCTCTACAAATAGTTTTTGCTCCATACAAGTTATAGTATCTGAGCACCATATAAGTAAAAGATAACAACAATTAAATATATGCATAGCCCATAGACACAGACAGCAATGTGGTGAAGGAAGGCGGGTAGAGGGGGAAAAGGGTAAGAAAATTTGGTACATCTCTCAACAAATCATAGTGTCAACAATAAAAAAAACTTTTAAAGATTTAAAAAATATGGAAGAATTTCATGACTTGGAGTACTTCTTTCCAGCCTTTTCTTGCCTGTAAGGTCTCTTTTGAGAAATTCATTGACAGACCTACAACCAAGATTGCTCTATCCAGCAAAGCTTTCATTTAAAATGGAAGGACAGATAAAGGGCTTCTCAGATAAGATCAAATTCAAGAAGTTCATCATCACCAAGCCCTTATTATATGAAATGTTAAAGGGACTTACCTAAGAAAAAGAAGATAAAAAAGATGAACAGCAAAAGGACAGCAAACTCACAGTTACTAACAACCACACCTAAAACAAAAGCAAACTAAGAGGACAGCTAGATCAGGAGTAGAACCATAGAAATGAAGATCACATGGAGGGTTAGCAACAGGGCAGTGGGAGAAGGAGAAGTGGGGAGAAGGTACAGAAAATAAGTAGCATAGACAGTAGGTATAAAATAGATAGGGGGAGGGCAAGAATAGTATGGAAAATATAGAATCTAAAGAACTTGAGACATGTGGTCATAAACTAAAGGGGGGAATGGTGGGGGAGGGGTTTGCAGGGTGGAGGGGAATGAAGGGGGGAAATAGAACAACTGTAATGGCATAATCAATAAAATATATTTAAAAAAATATGGAAGAAAACCAGGCTTAGAACTACAATTAGGTTGCCAGAATTGGCATTTTAGAGAACTTATACCCAAGGAAAAGAGTTATCAGTAACCTGTAAGATTGACATTTCTATTTTCTGGATACTATTTAGTGTGGAGAAACCACATATAAACAACCATGATAATGTAACTATATATATATATATATATTTGCTTTAAATTATTTTATTTGCTATTTTCTTCTGTAATGTTATGAGCCACTCAACATAATTCCAACAGAATTATTCACCAAATATTAATCAAAGAGGAAAGTTATTTAGAAATTATGACTCAACATATATCATATTATAATTTTTCTTTTTTTATTATGTTTCAGTTGAAATATGTTTATAGAGCTAATTATAAAAATTGTAGAATTCCACAGAGAACTCTGTTTGAATCACAACCATATGCTCTCAGTTGTATGTCTATTACCTAATACACAACAAATCACAATTTTAATCACATTAGTATCTATAAAAATTTGAAAAAAAATAAAAAGATATGTATTTGTGTATAGTTAAATAGATGTATGTATAGGTACAGATATAGATATATACCTAGCTGTGTCTGTCAAATATTTTTCATAAATATAAAGATTTGGTTTGCAATGAAATAATTAAACATCTATTACTTCCTCACAGAAATGGTGTTTGCAGGTTTGGTGGTTACAACTGGGGCCTCTGGGCCAGGGGATGTTTTGAAGTTTGGATGGCTGCATGGACTAACCCTGAAGATGGACAATGGTGAGGACTTAAACTGTACATGATCGCTCCGTTAGGTTCTTTCTACAGGACTCACAAACAACTGCCTGTCAACCACCTGATTACTTTAAGACTCTGGACAAATTATTTAAATTCATAAGCCTCACTTTTCTTCTATCTGAAACTGAACACATAATAACTTTAGAAAATCTGTTTTCCATTGCATCATTACAGCTAAATCAGCAGACATATTAAAGACCAAGGGGAAAAAAACTAAACCCAAGAGTCAATATGTTTAACATAGACAGAGTAGATTTTTAAATGAACAATCCCCTGATGAATCCAACCTGGATGTACACATCTTTGTACAGCCTCCTGTCACAGTGACTCTGAGCTTGGCCACGTTATTTGTCTCTCCAATGAGACTTAAACCAATGTGACAGAGCACACTGTCTGTTTTTAAAGTATATTTTATTGATTATGCTATTACAGTTGTCCCATATTTTTTCTCCCCTTTATTCCCCTCTACCCTGCACCCCTCCTCCCACTTGCATGTACCCCTTAGTTCATGTCCATGGGTCATACATTTAAGTTCTTTGGCTTCTTCATTTTTTATACATATCTTAACCTCCCTCTATTTTGTACCTACCATTTATGCTTGTTATACCCTGTACCTTTTTCCCTATTCTTCTCCCTTTCCCTCCATGCTGATAACCCTCCCTTTCTCCATTTCTGAGTTTCTGTTCCTGTTATAGCTGTTTGCTTAGTTTGTTTTTGTTTTTGTTTCGGTTTAGGTTCAGTTGTTGATAGTTGTGAGTTTGTTGTCATTTTTTGACAACAAACTGTTCATACTTTTGATCATCTTCTTTTTCTTATAATAAGGGCTTGGTGATGATGAACTCCTTTAACTTTACCTTATCTGGGAAGCACTTATCTGCCCTTCCATTCTAAATGATAGGTTTGCTGGATAAAGTAATCTTGGATGTTGGTCCTTGCCTTTCATGATTTCTATTACTCCTTTCCAGCCTCTTCTTGCCTACAAGGTTTTGTTTTTTGTTTTTGTTTTTTTTTTTGAGAAATCAGCTGATAGTTCTATGGGCGCCTTTTTGTAGGTAACTGTCTCTTTTTCTCTTGCTGCTTTTAAGATTCTCTCCTAATCTTTAACCTCGAGTAATGTAATTATGATGTGTCTTGGTATATTCCTCTTTGGGTCTCACTTTATGTGACTCTGAGCTTCCTGGACTTCTTGGAAGTCTATTTCTTTTGCCAGATTGGGGAAGTTTTCCTTCATGGTTTGTTCAAATAAGTTTTCAGTTTATTGCTCTTCTTCTTCTTCTGGCACCCCTATGGTTTAGATGTTAAAATGTTTCAAGTTGTCCCAGAGGTTCCTAAGCCTCTCCTCATTTTTTCCTGAATTCTTTTTTTTTTTTTTTCTGTTCTGGTTGAATGTTTATTTTTCCTTCTGGTCTAAATGGTTGATCTGAGTCCTGGCTTCTTTCCCTTTACCCTTGGTTCCTGTATATTTTTTCTTTATTTCACTTTGTATAGTCTTCACTTTTTCTTCTATTTTGTGACCATTCTCAACCATTTCTGTGAGCATCCTGATTGCCAGTGTTTTAAATTCTGCATCTGATAGGTTGGCTATCTCCTCATCATTTAATTCTTTTCTAGAGTTTTGATCTGTTCTTTTATTTGAGCCATATTTCTTTGTCTTTGTACACTTATTACATTGTAAGGTTGGGAGCCTTAGGTATTCACCAGGGTAGGCAATCCATGTCTCTGTGTTGTAGCGCCGTATGTTGGAGTAGGGTCTGAGAGGGAACAGTGCTGCTTGCTCAGCTCTCGACCAGCTTTCAGTCACTTTCCCTGCTACCCAGAAGCAAATCGGGCCCCTCTGGTGCTGATTCTTGGGTGACAGAACAAACTCTGGATACGTACTTACCCATTAGGGCCCAGCCACTAGAAATGCTGCCTTTACCATGTAAGAGTCCCAGGGTATACTGCTGAAGAGGTTACAGGGAGAAGAACCATGCATCCTAGCCAACAGTGGTTGCTAAACACTATCTCGTACTGTCTATCTCCAGCTGAGCCACCAGATGACTGTAGCTACATGAGTGACCCTCGTTAAAACATATCATCAGAAGAACCACCCAACTGAGCCAAGCCCAGTGTGCAGAACTGTGAGCAAATAAATGATTGTTTCAAGTCCCTATGTTTTGGGTTGGTTAGTTACTTACAGTAGATAACTAATATATTCAGTTCCCCATAGGAAAAGCCTTCAATAGTGCTGATATTGAAATCAATAAATAGGAACTTGAAATGACAGATCATGTAGGATAAAAACATGTACCACTTACAGAAAAATGAGTAAAATACCAAATGTGCAGAACATAGTAGAAAATAATTTTAAAATGTGCAATAGTAAACAAAATTATCTTTCTGAACACATTTTCTGCACTGGATTACTACTTTGTGCTGTACAAACAAAAACAAGAATATATGTATTATATCTAATTTACTGAATATGTATGACTTACTGAAACATGATCTTCTATGAAGCATATGCTGGAAAATCTTGCACAAAGGTTCTTCGCTTTGTGTAATGGACCTACAGGTGCACTGCACTTGAAGGACCGTCCCAAGGGTACCAATGTAAGCTGCTTTGCAGTCATCACTTCCTGAGCAAGTGAAGTCCTCCTTGCCCAACATACTGATGCAAGTCTCATCTTCATAGCACTTTGCAGTCACACGCTGCCAGCATTTGGACTGAAATGTTCGATAGCGCCTCCTAGAAGGAGTCAAGAAATGGAATTAGTCTCTTCCATACTATTTCACATTAATATGAGGTGCTTCCTCACCTAATGAAAGGCTGACATAAAACAAAACGCCTCCTAGATGCCAGTACATAGCTGAAACCTAAGTTCATACATTTAAACATCGCCACAGAGTGTGGAACAAAATGCAGAGAAACCTTGTGAATTACATTTCTCTTTTGATGAAAGACAGAGGCTAAGTTTACAATTCCCTGGATAAATTTTCCTTCATTACTAATTTTGTTTCAATGGCTGATGATTTGCAGTTTGAACTACTTGGAAGATTTATTAGCAGTATTTTCTGATGCAGAATGTGGTTCTGGTTGACTAGCAGTTGCCCATTGTTTCACACCAACCGATTTTAGATAAGACTCTTGACCTTTTGAGCCAATTTTCCCACAGGATGGGAGGTACTACACTTTTTCTTAACATTTTTAAGCAGACTCATTAGAATTTGAAAAATGCTGTGAGATTCTTTGGCAGCAAGAGCTAATAAAACAAAAATTTATGAGTTTATTTAATTGCCAAAATAATCCATTAGAACCACATCCATTCATAAGTTTTCTGACCATGTACTTGATTAGTGCTGTACTAGCTTTGAAAAAGTGTCAATAATGTACAACAATTTTATTCTTGAAACTTTCACAGTAACAGGATATTCTTCTCCACAGAGCCAAGGATATTAATCTTCCTACTTAATATTTATCACCTAAATTTACTTTTCACCCTTTCTCAAATGGGTTTCCATGCAATCTGCACCAAAACCCTCTGCATGTGACACTTGTCATGTGCCTTTGTGTGCACATGGCTCTACTGCTTAACTCCACATACTGCATTCGTGTTTAATGATCCCATGTTTTAAATCCTCTTAGAGGAATCAGCTTTTTCATACATTGGCAAAATTAATTTATACTTAAGGAAATACAATTTTTTTCAGCTTATAATTCTGGGGCCAGAAGAACAAATAGGTTACTTTAATGCAATTACGGGTTATTCATAAGATGTTATATAAGTTTAAGCATTAACAGTATTGATTGTCATTTATGAGTTGAGTGAGAATAAATTTGTACTGAGGTGCCATGTTTTAGAAATATGTGTTTTGCTAAGTTTACGTTGCATGAAGCCCTGAGGCTCAGGTGGTTAAAGCAGCAAGCATCCTGATATGCCCAAGGTTATGGGTTCGATCGCCGGTTAGAGCACATGAATAGCTGGAGCAACAAATTAATATTTCTCTTGCTCTCTCTCACTCTGAAATTAATTTTTAAAACCTTTAAGTTGAGTCATTTATCTATCATGGCAGTTATTTACTCAGAAAACTAGCTGTAAAATTTTGTAAAAGTAATAAATTAATTGATATTTAAATGAATATTAAAATTATATAAATGCTTTGGTATCCTAGTAACTAAATCATTTGAAATAAATTTTTAAATATGGCAAAAAATTATACTATAGAAATTTTATTTTGGGTTTGAAATGTTTAGCTGTATGATGATTCCATATTCTTATTTTCTTGTATTCCACAATTTTCTATTTTGATTTATTGTTCAAAAAATTAAGTGATTAAAAGTAATGTCTTAGATGTAGTTGATTGTTTTGTTTTTATTTTTGCTATGACTTGCAGTTACATTGCAAAATGTAAGAGAATATGGTGTGTATAAATTCTGCACACAGAATGTATTACATTTGCCTTTGTGACCTTATAGCCAAATTTTATCAATGTTTAATGACCACTTAAATGTGTACATTGTAATACTTTGCTTTAAAAAATAATTAGGTTTTTTCTAAGCAAATGTTTTTTTCACTACTTTTGTGAGTTCCTAAACATAAAAATATATTATAATTTTGATATGTTCCTAAACAATTATAATTGGCAAAACATAATCTCATCTCCCAATGTATATCTGTATTCGACACAATTAATTGAAAAATTGTCTTTATATTATTCTTTTCAAATAAATGAAGGAGTTTCAAAACCTATCATGTATTAAAGAATCTGGAACAGGGACAAGTTGTATTTTCAAAACCAACGACTCTCTTTTGCCCCATATGCAGACTCTTTGGCCCCAAAAGAAAGTGATAAAGGGCTTAACAACCTCATTGAAGCAATGGGGTTTTTTTGAAGCCTTTTTTCTCTAGCTGAATTACATTAACAATAATTTAATATATGAGGGCACATCCCCCAAACTAGAGCTATATTCTGGAGGGCAGGCCTCTTACAGTACAGACTTCCCCCACTAGGTGAGTGTTCTAGGAACCCATCTGTATCAGTGTGTACCAGCTGGCGTTGTTGTGAGAGGCTGCACTGAACTTCAGTGAATTTTTTGGGAAAACTCTTTCAACATCTTTGTCCATGTCATAATGGAAAAAAGGTGACTGGTTCTTCCACTATGACAACACATCTGTTCATAATGAGCTGAGTGTTCAGCAGTTTTTGACCAAAAATGGCATTGCCCCCGTGCCCCACCCTCCCTATTCACCTGATGTGTCCCTGAGAGCTTTTTTTGTTTGTTTCCCAGATGAAAAAACGCCTTAAAGGAAACACTTAGCCAGTGTGGAAGAGGTGAAACAAAATACGGAAGAAGCAGAAAGTCATCAGAATCAACCAGCTGAAAAACTGTTTCTAGCTGTGGAAATAGTGCCTCAAGGACTCACAGTCAAGACAGTGGCATAGGCAGACATGGCTCACCTCTTCCGACAATCACATCAAAATTACAACTAAAATATAGAACGATCATCACTCGGAACCATCAGAAATCTATTTGAATGGAAATCTGAGAACTACAGAATTAAAGAAACCATATCCATCCAGACTGGTAAGAGGGCTGCAGACACTACATGTGTGGTTGATAAAAAAATTTAGCAGTGATATCTCAGGAGCAAGCAGGGCCATCTCCAAAACAGGCCCCCAGGCCAGGGTTCCAGTGCCAGGGAGATGAGCTCCCACAACTTATGGCTGCAAAAACTGGTGGGGATTGAGTCAATGGAACAAACTGCTAGAGCCTCAAGCAGTTTCTTAAAGAACCCACACATGGACTCACCTACTCAGACTCACTCCCTCTGAGCTCCAGAGCTGGGGTGACATGAGTGTCATACTGGGAGATGCTGAAGTATATCACATCTGGGCAGCCAGAGGCTGTTTTTTCTTTTCTGAGCTCTCATCTCACAGAGACACAGAGTGGGCAGGCTGGTATCATATCTGAGACTCCATCAACCTGACTAACACTGTTTGACTCACCTTCAAGATCCCTAGAGACTCTGCCCCACCCACCCAAGCTGCTTTTCCATATGAATGGCCTTGCCTCAGGCTTCGCAACTTCCTAAATCTTATCAAACAAGCAACTGCTGGCCTCAGTGAGCTCCAGGCTGGGCACTAGCAGCAACCAGATTAGTTCTACAACTTGGCTTCACCTGGGCATCTCAAAGCCTGGCACAAGCAGCAGCCTTCTCAGATTGCTTTATCTGAGAAAAGCAACTGAATCTAAAAAATAAAAACAAAAACAAACTAAGCAAACAACCAGAATAGGAACAGGATCACAGGTATAGGGATCATTTGAAGGGTTATGACTAGAAGGGAGATAGGGGGCAATGGGGGAAATGGTGTTGGAATCAAGAAGCATATTTTGTAGGAACAAAATAGACAAGGTGAGACTAGGAATAGTATATGAAAGAGGGAAGCCAAAGAACTTAGATGCACCACCCATGGACATAAACTAAGGTGGGGAGATAACTGGAGGAAAGGGGAGTACTAAATGGAAGGGGAAAAAGGGAAAAAATTGAGACAACTGTAACAGCATAATCAATAAAATATACATTAGAAAAGTCTCAATAGGTGTATTTCATCAAGTGGAGATGACTTTGAAGGTGACTGAAGTTTAAACATGAAAGAATAAATACACACTTTTTAATAAATAAAATTTAGGTATTTCCTCATAAATACTGGAAATCTCCCTAAGGCAAGATGTGCATGAGAAAATGACAGGACTCATCTTTTCACCTCGGCTACTAATATTGTATAATATTTCCATTGCTTCCATAAAGTAATCATGAAGGGACTATTTCAAATGACATTGAAGACACAAGTCCTTAGTCTAATCTATGAAAGTTAGAAATTACATAAGAGGAGATGTGTATATGTACATCAACAAATTATAAAAGTTAAGTGCAAGGCATTCAAAAATGGAGGAAAACATATGACAATTTTTGAGTCCTCTTGTGTTCCAGATCCTGCACTGAGCATTTCAGAGAGGTGGTTAAGCCCAGGAGTCCTCATAGAACAAAATTATCAAAAAAATATGCCAGTCAATCTGAGAAGATATTGGTGACAAAGTGAATTTATTTCAAGAGCATGTGCCTCAGAAACCATCATTTGCCATTACAATATTTAATATGATGGGAAACTTAGGTGTATCATGCTTTGAAGGTTGAATGCAAATATTTTAGGATAATGAGGAATTAGGGCCCTCTCAGTGGTATGAGCCAAAGCTGGATGCCCATCCATGCAGACATTGGGTATTTTTATAGGAATTGATTTTTTAAAAAGTGTCCTCTGTATAGTTAAAATGTTGTTTCATTGTTGGTATAGATGGGTAATAGATAGTTGGTAAAATTCTATTTGTAATATAAAAAAGTATACTCAAACATTTTTGTCATTGATGGATTTTAGGAGATATCATTTTATTATAATTAAAATCACTTGTTTGAAATTAAATTATTGTTATTAAATTTAATAAATGTTTTGTTGTCATTGAGCTTAAGATACATCCCAAATATGTTAGAGATGTTAAAATGTATAAAACCTTACATTTTAAATTTGTTGCTGTCCTTCATTTGGTTGTGTGAGGAGGCAAAGTGTATCTACCTATGCCTCCATCTTGGATATAAGACCAGAAAATAGAACTGTATGGAAGTCCAACAACCAAAAAGTTAAAGAAGAAACATTTATTCAGACCAATATGAGAGGCAGAGATGGGCAGCCAGGGTGGAAAGAACTTACAGCAAGGTGGCTGGTGGGCTAGGCAGCCCCACATTTATGTGCAGATAAACTGGGAGCACCAACTGAGGAGTGAGACAGATAGCGCAACCCAGGGTTCCAGTGTGGGGAAAAAAAGACTCAAAACCTCTGATTGAAAAAACCTATGAGGGTTGAGGTGGCAAGAGAAACTCCCAGTCTCACAGGACAGTTCATTCAAGAGACTCACAGGGTCCTAGAACATACACAAACCCACCCACCTGGGAATCAATGCCAGAAGGACCCAATTTGCTTGTAGATAGTGGGGGACATGACTGAAAGATGGCCGAGAGCTGAGCAAGCAGCATTGTTTCCTTTCAGACACTACCCCAACATATGGTGCTACAACACAGAGACCTGGCTTGCTCCACCCTAAGGTTCCACCCCTTACTATGTAACAGGCACTCTGAGACAAAAAATATGGCCCCAATGAAGGACAAATCAAAGTTCCAGAAAAATACAACAAAGCCATGAAGAGACAGCCAGCCCATCAGATGCAGAGTTCAGAACACTGGCAATCAGGATGCTCACAGAAATGGTTGAGTATGGTCACAAAATAGAAGAAAAAGCGAAGGCTATGCAAAGTGAAATGAAGAAAAAAATATACAGGGAACCAACAGTAAAGGGGAAGGAAACCAGAACTCAAATCAACAATTTGGACCAGAAGGAAAAATAAACATTCAACCAGAACAGAAAGAAGAAACAAGAATTCAAAAAAAAAAAGTGAGGAGAGGCTTAGGAACCTCTGGGACAACATGAAATGTTTTAATATCTGAATCATAGGGGTGCCAGAGGAAGAAGAGCAATAAATTAAAAACTTATTTGAACAAATCATGAAGAAAAACTTCCCCATCTGGCAAAAGAAATAGACTTCCAGGAAGTCCAGGAAGCTCAGAGAGTCCCATAAAGTGAGACCCAAGGAGGAACACACCAAGACACATCATAATTACATTACTTGAGGTTAAAGATTAGGAGAGAATCTTAAAAGCAGCAAGAGGAAAAAAAAAGACAGTTACCTACAAAGGTGTTCTCATAAGACTCTCACCTGATTTCTCAAAAGAAAGCTTACAGGCCAGCAGGAGCTGGAAAGAAGTATTCAAAGTCATGAAAGGCAAGGACCTACATCCAAGATCACTCTATCCAGCAAACCTATCATTTAGAGTGGAAGGGCAGATAAAGTGCTTTCCAGACAAGGTAAAGTTACAGAAGTTCAGCATCACTGAGCCCTTATAATATGAAATACTAAAGGGACTTATCTAGGAAAAAGCATATGATCAAAACTATGAACAGTAAAATGACAACAAATTCACTGCTACCAACAACTGAACCTTAAAAAGCAAACAAACTAAATAAACAACTAGAATAGGAGCAGATTCACAGAAATAGAGATCACATGTAAGGTTATCAGTGAGGAGGGAGAAAGAGTAAGGAAAGGTACAGGGAATAAGCAGCATAAATGGTAGGTACAAAATAGACAGGGGCAGGTTAAGAATAGTACGGGAAATGGAGAAGCCAAAGGACTTATATGTATGATCATGGACATGAACTAGGGGGGTGGATGCTGGTGGGAGAGAGGGTGCAGGGCAAAGGGGAATAAAGGGGAGAAAAAATATGGGATAACTGTAATAGCATAATCAATCAAATATATTTAAAAATTACATTTTAGAATTAATGGAATACAGTATTTCACTAAAATGAACTTTGGGGATATTAATGAATTTGGCAAATCTAAGTGGCATTATAAAATATTTTGATAATTAATATTATTTTTAACTCAAGAGAAGTTATTAATAGACCTTAAAATAACTGATAAACATTTACGTGACAGAATCCTCAAAGAAACCTTTCTTAAGGTCTTTGGCCTTTACATGTTTAGTTGAAGCAAAAAAAACCATGCCAATATCCCTGCATTCTTAGATCTTTACCCTTTATCTTACTGAATGCACATTAGAAGGAAGCAGCTGTCTTTTTTGACAAGTGTTTACAAGACCTGGAGCTACGTTTTCAAGTAATAATGACTGAGATTAAAGGAGGGAAGAGAGGTGACAGTTATCTTTTGACAAAGGAAAACAGTTTACCAAGAATCAGTGTCTTCAGAAAGTTATCATTAAACCTTTTAGTTTATTTGCCAGTGGTTGAAGCAAGGTGATAAATGTGACAGGTTGAACTATCACATGTTCTGAGCTATCACACACTGAGCTACTCCTTCTCACTAAATGGTTATTTTGATCTTTAAATGAATTTGCTATATAGGGAGTTTTATTCACTTAAATAAAATTAAATAAAATGGCCCCTGATAGAAGATACCAAGCAAATGACTTAATATGAAAAATTACTCAAAAAAGGAGCAAAAGAAAAATTTTAAAAATTATACAATTTAATGCTGGTTATTAAATGAAGCTCCTTCAACATTAACATCAATGTTACAAAATGTTTGACTCATGAAATTTATTTAGTATTCTCATTTTTTTCCTCCATTTCCTTACTCTCGTCCAAAGAGGCCCATTTGACTCTGGATTTTTTTTTTTACCACACAAAACATAAATTCATCCTGATTATACAAGGAAATGTAGTAATGACCGCAGTGAGGAAAAGAAATAGCCAGTGTTGGATCAAAGTTACGGTCCACAGAAGTAGTTTCCTGCAAAAGTACAGTCTACTCTCAACTACCAGCTAAAGCTGATGTTTTAACAAGCAAGCCAGATCATTCATACCTCTGCTCAAAATCCTCTGGTCCTTCTCTATTTGACTACGAGTCAAAACCTAAGTTGTAAGTGTCCCTCAAGGCCCTGTGCGAGATCTAGGCCCAGTCCCCCTGCAGTTAAAGCTCTAACCACTTCTCCTAATGCTCTCCTCCTTGCACTCACTGCCTCCATTGCTTTTTTAACAGGCCACAGGCCTTTGTTACTCAACAATGGCTGGTCTGTTCGGTATCTCTCTTTTGGATATCTCTTAAGAGAGGTTCATTACCTCCCTCACTTCCTCAACTCTGATAAACGCTCTCTGCTGGGACCACCCCATTTACATTGCTACTCTTTCTGCCCACTCACAACTCCCCAGTTACTCTGCTTTGCTACTGTTGCTGTTGCTAATCTCCAGAGCACTCATTATCTCACAATATAATATTCATTTTTGTATTTATTACCCATCTCCTCTATTAGAATATAAGTTCTACAGGGCAGGCATTTTTGTTTCTTGTACTCAGATAAATTTTTTTTTAATAAACAAATAAATGACTAACATTACCCCCCTTAGGTTCAAGAATATAAAGCTAGGAAGAGGAGACTAGGCATTTCTGACATCACAGTTTAGATGTGTGTGGGGGATATCCAGACTGTGGTCAAGCTACTTCTCCTTCCTCATCATCAGTGTAAGGCAGAAAAATTTATTTTGAAGTTTGAAGAGTCACCTTGTCAAAATTCTTTGACATTTAACAACCTTATACGATTATACCAAAAAGCAAATTAAAAAACTGGCATGCAAGATACATTTATTAACCAAATTCCTTATTCATTACTCTAATTTGAATATACAATTTCAGTAATAATATTTCATGGTGACCGAATCCTGACATACTGATTTTTTTTATTCCAAACATGTTCTGCATTTGAATTTCAAAAAGGACACTACATATGTACCACAGATTCGAAAATACGAATTGTCTGGCTTTGTTTACATCATGTTGGATAATGGTGGGAACTCCAGCTAATGTAATGAGATCAAGTGTTAGGACTGGACTGTAACAAATAAGGTGCAGAAATAAGAAAGTAAGGTATGCGTGTTTTTACTCACCTGCATAATTCATCATTTCGGCAGCTGTGAATTACATTGAGGCAAGTCAGGGGTGGAACTATGTTCACTGCACATGGCTTGCTGTGAAGAGCTTCTTTGGACTGCTGACAAGGTATATCAGATGGAGCACAGTCACAAAAAGCCAACATCTGGGCAATATTAAAAGGCATATTTTGATAGAAGAACCGTATGGCGGCTTGGCAGTGTTTCACATCACACAGATTTCCATTTGCTGAGCAAGCTTTAAGGTAAGGGGCCAACTGTGCATTACAGACCACATCCCCTACACACATCTCTGCCACTTCCAAACAGGACCGGATCCCTTTCATTTCTGAAAGCAAATGACATGCCCACGTCATGAAAATGTAAATATAAAGCTGCCCTTTACAGAATCTGCAAAACACTGCGAGATGTCTAGGAACAACATACAACTTTGTAGTAGCATTCTATTTTGGGCAAACATTTCTTTCTTTTTTTAGAGTTCACATGAATTTACTGAGACCTGAATAGCGGACTATTTGAATCATCTTTCATCTCTACTGGATACAAAACGTAGTATGATCCAAAAGAGATGGGAAATGTGCAAGGCCAAAACTGAGCTGAAGGAAAAATCCTTGGGTCCAAGTTTCTCAAATGTAAACAATAAATCTTCAGAAATTTTATTTGAGCTATATACCTTATGATGAGTTCATTGGCTCATATCAAAATGATTCTTATTCTGTTGCACTTTTTATTTGGGGAGTGGAAATCTTGAATAAAGGCTCCACATAATTGTTCACATTCTAGAAAACACAGGCACACGTGAATGCCCACCACACCCATAAACATAATACAGAAACAGTTGGCCTGGACCAACCTAATTTATGTGATCAAAATATCCATAAAATTTAACCAAGATCTAGTCTTTGCTTTTAATTGCAAAGTTTTTCTCAGCATAACATAAATTGATGACCAATGGGCAAATCAGTTGCTTTGATACTTTAGTGGAAGAAATGCAATGATTTTTTTTTGTATTTTGTAATATTGAAACTGTTTAAGAACTGCACAATTTATTTTGCATTGAAATATTTTTAAGAACTCTAGTAACTACATTTTAAATTATATTGTTCAGTATTTACAATGCCGATCAAAATTATAAATGAGAAACATTACCATGATAGGGAAGAGTAGTTAGATTCCACTTGAATTTATTATCCTCTCTCATGTTATCTAGAAGGAAGACAAAGACTTCATTAGTGAACCATTTTCTAAATTTAAGGGGAAAATGCGGACTACATCTATAAGTGAGTAATGAAGCAAAAATACATAGAGGCTCATATAATACTTGTTTAACCCCTGACACTCAAAGTTAGTGAAGTACAGATGAAGAAAAGTAAAACCCAGAAATATCATTCAAGTGAGTTAAACAGCCCTGCTGTGAGGAAAGATTCAGTTACTTGGAGGTTTAAACAAATGCTAATGACTACGCCATGTGCACTGAAGTAAACAAAGAATCTGTCTGGGGAGGCAAAACAGAAGGAATAATGTCTGACAAAAAAAAAAGACAACTCTTCCCAGTAGGGTTGTACACTGAAATGCAATTTGAAGACTGATTTCCACCTCTGATTATTTTAGCTTCTCAGAGTTCTTAGGAATTAAAATTATAGAATTGGAGAATCTTACTGACGGGAGTAAACTTGGTGGCCATGTATTCTAAAATCTTTCATTCAAGAAGCATTGATATCATGTGCCACATCGAAGACACAAATCTGTAGTCCCTTCCCCGGAGCCTCCAAAGCCTGGCAGGGAGTACAGACATACTATACATATGCACACATATACAAACACACAAATATATGTGTATACATATATAAATAATGTCATATGTACGTCATACATGTCATATGTATATATGCCGGTAGACATACATGCACACACACAAGAAAGTGATAGGAGAATAATATGATCAGATTTTTATATTTAAATACAAATTCAATTTTCTCTTTGGTTATTGATTAACATATTGACTTCTGTTATGGCACAAATATCCCTTGTCATATAATTTGTCCCTACTTGAGCTGTCTGTCCAAATTCCTTGGCTGTTCATTTAATGCACATACATGATGGTACAATCACAAGAAAGTTCTTGTTACACCCAAGTGTGTCACAGCCTTTCCAGAATCCTTGCTTTATTTCATCTATTCGCACTATACCGTGTCTCATTTCGCTACTTACTAAGTCTCTGCTGAAAGATCACTGAGCTGGGGCTTCACCTCTTCTAGAGTCCACTCTTCTGGGTCTCCAAGGAAGCCTGGAATGTTCCTTCCTCTCTGCTACTATCCCACATTGAATAAATCCAAATAGGCAAATCCAAAAAAGTCATATAACTTTTGTGACAGACACAAAAGTCTAGGCAGGAACTTCTCTTATAGATTAATGCCTCTGCTTTGGAACTGATTAGTATGGCCGTGCCACTGAATAAAACATATGCAGGAAACTAACATTGAAACATAAATAAGTATCGAATTTACTGACTGTTATGTGCTGGATGTTTGTGACTTTCCAAATTTCATGCATTGAAGTCCTAGCACCCAGTACAGCTGAATGCGGAGATGATATCTCTAAGGAAGTAACTGAGATTAAATGAAGTCATGGGCATGGGAATCTGACCTGAGGGAGTGTTGTCCTAATAAGAAGGAACATTACAGACTTTACTCACTCTCCCCGATCCATGCACACACAACATGGAATGTCGTGGGAGGCCATAGCAAGAAGCCAGGGATGTGACAAGTCAGCAAGAGAGCTCTCACCAGAAACCAACCCTGATGGAACTTGACCAGGAGCCTCCAAAGTTTTGAGATAATAAATTTTTGTTGTTTAGGCTAGCAGCCTGTGGCATCTTGTTACAGCAACCCAACCAAAGTAATATGCTCACTGTATGTGTGATTAGTACCAACTCAACAAGAGTTATTTTTAGCATAGGAAAATTAAGTCTATCTTAGATGCACATTATTTTATATGCTATGAGTAATGTATTATATAAACACTCTGCACATTAAATTCTAATGTCATATGGTACATACATATGTATATGCACATGTATTTTTCCCAGAGGACATTTTAAACAGTAGCTTAATTGCTGAAGAGGAGCTAAAGGACAATACGTCATGAGTATAAATAGAATCATACTAACAACCAGACTTAAATCTGAGTTATAAGATCATATGCATAAAAAATAGTTTCCTCTTATTGATCTACTAATAACAAAATATATGCAAAGTCAGATATCTTCTTACCCTGCTACCACTCTGGTTAAGGACATCATACATTTTCTCTACTGATCTCTTCTAGTCCCATGGTCTTATTTGTCATCTGTAAATAAATAACCCTCCCAATTTATATGTACTGTATAAATCTCATTTCTACATGTCATGCATGGGATTTAGACATCAATTCCATATATAATACTGACTTTTCAATATCTTCACTTCGATACCTAATAAACATTTCACACTCAACACATCCAAACTCACTTCTCATCTCCCCTCTGTCTCCCAACTAAAGCATCTTTTTCCGGTAGTTGTTCTTGTTTTAGTAAATAAAAATATTGGTGACCACATCCTTGTAATACTCCATACAAAAACTTTGGTGTCAACTTTAATTTTTACTTTTTCCCTTGAATTCCCATATGATCCACTAATATTAAAATATATCCAGAACTGACAACTTTTCATAAGGGTTCATCATTCATTACCTTTTTTACTACATTATTATAAAAGCTCCTACCTGGTCTTCCTACTTGGGCCATTCCTCCTTTTCAGTCAGTTGTCAACAACAACAACAGCAACAACAAAACCCAAGAATCATCCTGCTAAACATATATTCTAGACCATAACCGTATCCTGACCAAAATCCTTCAGTGGTTTCCTATATCACTTAGAGTACAGCCAACAGTTTTGAAATGATCCACAACATGCTTCATGATCTTGTCTCCTGTTCTATAGCAGATCTTACCTCCTACTCTTCTCTCCATTGGTCTCTCAACTCTAGCTGGTGGCCTCTTCGCTTTTCTTCTAAATCTGAGTTATAAGATCATATGCATAAAAAATAGTTTCCTCTTTTGACAAACATTATCAAAGTCAGATATCTTCTTACCCTGCTACCACTCTGGTTAAGGACATCATGGCTGTACTCATATTCCCAGCTCAGGACCTTTAATTACATGTTTGTTTTGCCTTAAATGTTCTTTCCCTAGGTATTCATAGGACTCATCCATTGCCACTTTCTATCTTTACTTAAACATTAATTTTTTCAGAGCAACTTTCTGGCCATCCTATTAAAATTACAAAGCCCACTCAGACTTCTTTTTTTATACCTTACCTATATTTAATTTTATCCTTAGCACTTACAGTATTTAAAGTACAAATCTTAAAGTCATTTATCCTGTTAATTTCTTCTTTGTCCCCATATCAGATGCTGATTCTTACTACTAAGATCCCCCCTTTGATGATCTAGGTATAAATTTTCTCAGCTGCTGGGAGTATTTAGGGTACTGGGTCACACTCGTCCTTCTCCTAACACTGCCCTCATCCAAAGAATGTTGCCACGCCCAATGTTACAGACATTCCCAGGGCAAAGCTCATATCTAAGCACTAGACCATTTGAGGGATTCAAAAATCAGCTTCCTTGCCTCAATAGGTGTGATACCTCTGAAAAGCCATTCTAGGTCCAAGGTTCCTATAGAATCAACTAAGTTTGCTGTGACAACTACTGCATTTCCATTTCCTCTACCTAAGCTTGTTTTCCTCACTTCCTTCTTTCTTTTCTTCCCGAGACCTAAGCCTAGTACATTACCTGTGTGCAAGCCTCTGTCTCAACTTAGAGTGGAAGCTCCTAGACAGTAGTGATTTTTGTTTGTTTTATTTACTGCTTTATCCCATCTTAGAGTATGCCTGGAGGAAGGTAGGCACTCAAAAGAAATATGTATTTATTTATTTATTTTTTAGGCAGAGGGAGAGGGAGGGGGAAAGAGAGGGAGAGAAACATCAATGTGTGGTTGTCTCTCTTGCATCCACTACTGGGGACCTGGTCTGCAACCCAGGCATGTGCCCTGAAAATTGAACCAGCAACCCTTTGGCTCACAGGCCAGTGCTCAATCCATTGAGCCACACCAGCCAGGACAAGAAATATTTATTAAATAAGTAAGTAATCATTGCTTACCACTTTTATCTCTATCTTTAATTTTTTTAAATTCCCTAAAAACCAATGAGCTTCTTTGATGAGGGAGAGAGAGTTTCTGTTTTGTTTTGTTTTTGTTTTTGTTTTTGTCTTGCGGCACAGGACCTAGTGCATTGTACATGGCTCTTAAGTATTTGTTCAATGAATGAATAAATTTAACCGTACACTATAACTTTTTAGCATTTGCCTCTTTCCTTATGTGGAGAGCAAGAACAATAAAATGGCATTGGTGCAATTAAGAGAGCATAAAGTATATAAAACAAAGTGGAGTCACTTATGTCAACTAAAATGGCTGTCAGTCAGCCATTACACTTTGGTTCAAGAGGAAAATTACCTAAGTCAGATAAATATATCTGAAGAGGAGACATATCTGCCCACATGGTCAGAGCAGACATATCTGGCAAGGAGACAACACTTGCACATTGCACATGTGGTCAGCGCAGCCATGTCTGCAGGGCGAGACCACCCACAGATAGGCTCCTGGGGAAATTCCACACTTGCCAGCAGGGATGTCAAACAGAACAGCCATGTATCACCCTTAGGCTTCTGAGAAAATTCCACACTTTGCATTAGCGGTGCCAAGACATTTACCGAAAAGACCCAGAAGGGTGGAGTACACCATTTTGAAGGCATTACTGAGGCAGGTTCCAGACCACTGCTGAGACAGCCAACCTTCACACACCATGATGCTGCTCCATGCCACACCGATCTCCCTTGGTATTGCCCACTGGAAGCTCTGCCCTGCTGGACTGAGGACTTCATCTGCTCTGCTGTCCACCTGGTTTGAGATCCTTCCTTTCAAGACCCTGATAAGTCCCTTGCCCACCATGCTGTCTCCTGGACCTGCTGACTGAAACTCTGGGTCTTGGGTTTGTTATCCCCTATTGATTGCTGTGTGTGTTATACTCCTCTTCCATTGTTAGAGTGTGAGTAGGACATTAATGTATGTTGATATTCTACTCTGAGTGAACCTGCATTCAATAAAAGCTGAG